TGGAAGTAGCCCCCTCCCAGCTGAGCAAACGTCTTCTTAGATAAGTTCCAAGTTCAAGCCATAAGTATGGAGTAAAACACCTCCAAATTAAACCCAGGAGCAACCAGCAGAGTCTGACATAAATCATCTGAAAATGGCCAGTGGCTGACTCGAGAAGCCCAGGTGCCCATCTCAGCCTCACTGCAGCAGAGGGCGGGTCGTCATGGTTTCCTCATGCCCGGCACATAGCCCAGTTCTATGAAACCAAAACTCTGCTCAGGCCTCAAGCTTGAAGGGTGCTGAAGGGCACATGGCAGCATCAGTGATGACCCTTAGTTAAATGCTGGAGTGTCACAACTCGGAGTCAGGAAGGGGGTGACTGAGCCCCATCTGGCCTTTGGTCAGTTCAGCCAGGCTGTGCTTCTGACCTGGGCTACCATTCATGATGCCAATTTCACACCATGGTGACAGCTCCCTGGATGAGGTCGGTAAGGCTGCTCTCAGCAACCATACCTCTTTTAACTTCAACAGCGCATGGGCAGTCTGGATGTATCCAGAGCCTCAGATGCCATAACCGCAGCTGCATAGGGAGGGCCACCCCAGAGTTCCCAACTGGCACGAGACATCATCTTTTCTCTGCAACAACCACATGCCGTGACAGTGGGGCTGTGGTAGGATGCTTCTGGACCCACAGGAGAAGAGTCCCCTGCCTGACCTTCTTCTGCTGCTCTGTCTCCTCCTGAGTCTGGTGAGTGCCAGGCAGCCTTCCTGGTTCTCAGCTCTGCCACACCCCTGACGCCCACTCCTGCTCCTCCCTCCAGCCCTTTCCATTTGTTCCCCTTGTGAACAGACAGTGGGCCTGTAGAGAGCACTGAGTTCTAATGCATGCCTGGAAGTGTCAGCCCAGACAGGTGGCCAAGAAACCAGATCAAGCCGGGCTTGGTGGCTCAGCCTGTAATCCCCCGCCTTTGGGAGGCTGAGGTGAGTGGATTGCCTGAGCCCGCAGGCTCGAGACCCGCCTGGGCAGTGAGAACTCATCTCTACAATAAATAAAAAAATCAGCCGGGCGTGGTAGCTCGCACCTGTAATTCCAGCTATTCGGAAGGCTGAGGCGGAAGGATCGCCGGAGCCCAGCAGGTCCAGGCTGCGGTGGCCAGGAGCGGCCACTGCACTCCAGTCTGGGCGACAGAGTGAGACTCCAACTCAAAAAAAGAAACCAGATCAAGTGGGACAGGGAGCCCCACAGGAAGGCCCAGCTCCCACACTCCTCCACAGAGACAGAAAGTGAGCTGAATGGGCTACAGAGCCACCCAGGCCCAGACTCAGGCCCCAGTCTGAGACTCAGCTGTGTTGCTGCAAGTGACTGATCTCACTTGGCCTTAGGTTATCATCACCTGCAACATAAGAGCACTGACAGCCCCCTGCAGGACAATTCTATAAGCACTCTGCCCTGCCAGGTCCTAGTTCCTCTCCCGAGGGGTGAATTCCAGGGCCGATGGCAGAAAATCTGTTCTGCCTCCCATTGAGATGGAGGGGAGGAGACATGAGGGAAGAGACACCAGGCCACAGACAGCCCACTGGGACATGAGCTCCATCTGCAGGCACACTCTCTCTGTCCACTCAGTCTCTGCAGAGACAGGGGAGAGATTTCGATGGTCGGACACATCAAAGGGCAGCGGTTGGCCACAGGTGCTCAACTTCAATCACTAAAGCCAAACGGGTTTCAGGAACACAGCAGGGTTTGTCTTGCAAAGTACTTAGAAGTAACAGGCCTAAGCCAAACAAACCTACATCAACACTGGATGACATTTGACTGCACTACAGTAGACCTTGTGTTTGTTCAGCCACCTTCTTATAAGGAAAAATTTATTTTCTAAAACTTGAAGAAGCTCAGGAAGAGCTAAAGAAAGTTCAATTCAAATATTTTAGAAAAACAAAGATGCCCTTTCCTGTGGGTGGCAAGCCTTGGGGCACTGAGGAGAAGCCCCATCCCCCACACACTGTGGCCAAGCTCTTCCTGCTCCTTCCAGGTGGGAAGCTGTGGAACCAACCTCTCTAGAAGCCATGCAGGTGTAGACTGTGAAGTGGTGGCAGGGGGGAAGTTGGCTGGACACTTTTGGAGAAGGGACAGGAAGAGGTCCCTGAGGGGGCCCAAATCCAATGTCTGCATGCCCCAAGGGGGTTGGCAGGATGATCCAGTTCACAGGTGACTAATCAGAACCAAATGGTGACAATGGGAATGATGACTGCCAGCAGACAGCCCCTGCAGTGCCACGGGTGACTGGCACTCTCCCCCCAGCAGGACAGCCCACAGGACAACTCACACAGGGAAGACAGCAAGGAGGCAGAGCCCAGCAGGGGGCAGCCTGACCTTCAAGACCAGGGTGTTTCTTTCCCATATTCCATGGGGAGTCTGCAGAAATCAGTCACAAAAAGGGTCCCGTGGTTGATCTCACAGGAGGCAAAGGGCCAGAATTCGTGGACTCCCTTACTGAAGAATTCCCAGATGCTGAGGTTCTCATGTATAACATCATGGGGGAGTTCACATGCATGCTTTCCGTGCATGTATCCCTCCTTGTAGGTGTACTTCAGGGTTAGTGTCCTCAGAGCAGGGATCCTCCAATTCACAGGACACAGGGCCCCACTCAAGTTTCTAACCCAGCAGGCCTGACTGGGGCTGACTCAAATGGGCACTTCTTTTCTTTTCTTTGTAGCAACAGGATCTCATATGTTGCCCAGGCTGATCTCGAGCTCCTGGGTTCAAGGAATCCTCCTACTCAGCCTCCCAGAGTGCTGGGATCACAGGCAAGAGTCACCACACCCAGCCTTGGGATGTGCATTTCCAACAAATCTCCAGGTGACCCAGCTTTGAGAACCACAGCCTTAGAATGAACTCTGGGGACCCCAAATGGGACACTCCTTGGTGCCAAGGTCGCTGCATCCCTTTCCACCCCACCTCCGCTGGTCTCACTGGCAGTTTGGCTCTTGGGACACTCTTCCTGTGCAGGACACTCTGCCCAAGGCCCCTGTACCCTCCTTCTGGCCTCACATACTCTTGCCCCTGCTGGCTCATGCCAGGACTTTCATTTCCAGCCATATCCCACATCGAGTCTCGGGCCTGTTCTTCCTGCCACGACTGGGAACACAGCCAGCCCTTTTAAATAACCTTATTTAGTTAAGTTAATCACACCATTGGGTATGGCCTTTATCATTTCTCTTTGAGAAGTAAACTTCCTTCCGAGTTCCAGGGACAATTTTCAAGGCTCCATGCATGCTGCTTCAAGTACAGAGTACTGTTGTTTGCAGTATTTGAATCTGGTATGTAATTTTCATACTGCAGATATTAAACTTTTAAAAATGCACAAAAAGGTGGCAAGTTTTGCCAGGGTTACTTGCATTTTTTTGGTCTTTTCTTTTCTTTTTTTTTTTGAGTTGGAGTCTCACTCTGTTGCCCAGACTGGAAGGCAGTGGCCGCTCCTGGCCACCGCAGCCTCGACTTGCTGGGCTCCAGCAATTCTTCCGCCTCAGCCTTCCAAGTAGCTGGAACTACAGGTGCGTGCTACCATGCCTGGCTAATTTTTGATTTATTGTAGAGATGGGGTCTCGCCAAGTTGCCCAGGCTGGTCCACTCACCTCAGCCTCCCAAAGTGCGGGATTACAGGCTGAGCCACCAAGCCCAGCTGCTACTTGCATTTTAATGGACATATCCATGATTCTGTTACTGAATAACAAACAGACAAGAACTCAAAGTTCTTAAATTACTTGTTTTTCCTAAAAGCAAAATCTTACCCAAAAAATTCCACTAAAGAGTTTTCTGTCCATTTACTCTCGTTTCTGACCTTCGTTATGACTAGCAGAAAACACCAGGGACTTAAGGAAATATCAGATCAGAGAGAAGGAACCCATAAGAATCAAAAGCCTCCAACATACTCACATAAGAGAAAACTGCGTTTTAAAAACAATCTTTCACAATTACATACAAAAGCCCTATTGAGACTGGTAAAAAAAAAAGTTTCTTTATAAATCTGTTTGGAAATAAGAAAAACACAGCGGGGTTTTGTTTTTAAAGCACAAAAACAAAGGTGCAGGAATAAAGAGTAGCAATTTGTAACCGCTCTTGCCCACTGAAACATGTAATTAGAGGTTAGCAACAGTAGCAAGAGCCCCGCCAAACCTCACTCTTGCTGGGGAGGAGCTGCTACTTCAGAGATTTAAATACCATCTGAAGGAAGGGACACTGCAAACGCCCCACTTACGGCAGCTCTGCCACTCAGTCACTTAATGACTGATTACTAATGGACAGCTCTACGAAAGCACTAAACAATAAAGTGTGGGAACATTACCAGTACTTTGGTGAAGGGCAGTCTTCCCAAAAGCTGCGCATCTGCGAACAAGGAACCTACCGATAGAACGCGCTGCAGATCACTTTTTGTTTTTACAGAGGCGTCTCAAGAGTGCTTGGATGGCTACATTGTGGGCCCACTTTGAGCATGCACCATACGGCCAGCTATCCAAGCCAGGAAGAGGATGAGGAGGAAGACTCAAAGGGAAAGGAGTGGCTATGGGTGTGGGATCCTCGGAAGATGGGGCCGGCGTGGAACTCCTGGGGATGGGTTGTGCGTGTGTCGGGAAAGAGACGGCGTAGGAGGCGTGGCAGGTTAATGAGGCTCCTGGGGGCTCAAAACATGGGTGTTCTGAGAGCTGGGATGGCTTCCCTGTACCCAACTGTGGCGTGAGGGCTGAGGGAGAAGGGTTCTTCCACTGCGACTCGGGAGAGCCCAACCCGCGAGGATCTGACGGGGGTTGCCTGGGGGGCACGTGAGGGAGCAACTGGTTTAAACCCCTCTGCCTGGAAAGCCGGGTTGGCCTGGGTGGGGAGTCTGTCGGCAGTAGCTGGGTCTGGGGTAAGGAAAGGTAAGGGGTCCGGGAGGGGCGGCGGGACCCGCGGAGCACCCGCCTCCGGGGACCTCGGAAAGCCGCGGCCCGGGGGTCGGGGGTCCCCGCGCGGGGGCGCGCCTCACCTCGCACGTCCCCGGCCAGGGCTCGCCAGGTGGGCGCGTAGCCGATGCAGTGACCGCACCACGACGAATAGAACTGCACGAGCCACGCGGCCGAGCTGTTGGCCGTGGCCCCGCGCACGCTGCCGCTGTCCAGCACCCACACGGCGTCCTCGCCCGCGCGGTACAGCCGCGCCGCGCCGCCCGCGCCCCGCCCCGCCGCGCGCCCGCTCGCCCCCCGCGGGTCTGCTCCCGAAGGGCTGAGCTAGGGCCCCAGATTTCGCAAATGTGACGCCAGGTATTGCAGGTAAACATGAGTCGGGTTTTTGGGCTAGGTCTGTCCCTTACCTGAAATGCATGTTTAACGGCACTCTTAGATTTACAAACGATTCGCTCTTTATCTGAAATTCACGCAAGTGGACATCCTCTGTTCTACCTGGCTATCCCACCTGGAGCTCCAGAGGATCTGCAGCCCGATCTTAACCTTTTTTGTGTGTGTGAGTCGGTGTTTCACTCTGGCGCCTAGGTTGGAGTGCAGTGGCACAATCATGGCTCACTTCAACCTCCGACTCCTGGACTCAAGCGATCCTTGCATCCAGGACTCCCAAAGTGCTAGGATTACAGGCATGAGCTACTGCGCCCCTCTGACTGACCTTTTAATACGAGATTTGAACTGGAAAGTGTACATCCAGGCAAAATCAGATGTATTATGTACTAAATTTCAGGATGTTTGAGTTGATTTTGGTATAAGGTTCATGCAGTTTTCTACAAACCTAGGAAATGAAGTTTCCTTTTTCTTTCTTTTTTTTTGTTTAATTAAATAGAGTTTTTTTATTTGTTTGTATGTTTGTTTGTTTTAGTTACTAGTCTTGATTTTCACACACGAGATTTTCTCTGAACTGTGTAACCAAAACAAAAAGGAAAGGAAGTGGGTGAGGAGCTGTTCTGGGTCCATAACAGTCATCCATTGATCTGAAGTCCAAGTTCTTACGTCCTAGGCTGCCTTGCTCATGGATAATTCACCTTTTTTTTTTTTTTTTTTTTTGAGTTGGGTTGTCACTCTTTCCCTCAGGCTGGAGTGTAGTGGCACAACCACAGCTCACCGAAACCTCAACCTCCTGGGCTCAAGCGATCCTCCCAGCTCAGCCTCCCGAGTAGTTGGGACTTACAGGCACCACCACACTCAGCTAATTTTTTAAAAAATTTTTTTGTAGAGACAAGATTTCCCTATGTTGCCCAGGCTGGCCTCAAATTCCTGGGCTCAAGGGAGTCTCCTGTCTCCATCTTCCAAAGAGCTGGAATGACAGGCATGAGCCACTGCGCCCAGTGGTGATTCCCTTTTAAATAAATAAATGCTATGATTTGAATTTAAAATATCTTTAGACCAATACAACCGTCTACCTGCTCTCTGTGTAAGATTTTGTTAAGAAAGGAATTTAGCTGCTAACAATGGTTAGGAAACCCAAGATGACATAGTGGACACCAGAGGTGAAGCGGCTGTTCCTTCTCCCATGCCCTGCTCCTTTCTCCTCACTTTTTCCTTCCTTCACTCACATCCACTAGCTTCTACTCTGTGCCAATCCCTGGAGACAAAGCAAGAGCAAAATCCAGCTTTAGTGCCCCTGGGCCTGCATGCTGGGAAACAGACTGCAAACAAGGAAACAGGTGAAGCAGCTGATGAGTGCTACCAAAAGCAATAAAGTAGGATGGGAGCATGCCTTGGGGAGGCGCTGTTGTACACTGGAGGGCTGGGAGGTCTCTCTGAGAAAGTGACCTGTGAGTGGGGAAGGAGGTGAGTAGCCCAGGCAGGGGAGCAACTTGGGCAAAATCCCTGAGGCAGAAGAAAAAGCAGCAGGAAGCCTACATGGTTGGAGTAGGGCAAGCCAGGGGAAGCCTGGGAAGGAAGAGAAACTGCTGAGAACAAGACAGAGGCGGGGTCTCCCTAGCCAGGTCCTCCTGTCACTCACAGCTCCCCTCTTGAAGACTGGCAGGCTCCCAGTCAGGTGTGCAGGGCTGCCCCTACCCAGTGACTATAGGGCTCCCCTGGCCCCTTCTTGGCCATCAGGTGGCCAGTCACCTGCTGCACTTACAGTGGTCCCAGGGAGTCCGGGGGTGAGTACCCCTCTTCCTGCTGTAGGGCTCCCCTTCCTCCCATCAGGTCTTATCCCAGGTCAGAAGGGACTGCAGATAGCAGAGGAGCAAGGGTGTCCCTCTCCATCCCTGCATGACCCACCCCCACATACACACGGGGGACAGAAGGCTGGGGTCCCTGAACGCTGTGAGTCCTACTGAAGGGGTGCGTTCAGCACATCGGAATAATACCACACCCCAAACCTACCCGATGACAACAAGCCACCCGTGAGACCAAGATTAGCCCCAAACAGAGAGGCTGCACCTTAAAAACACCAGAGTTTCTAAAATCCCAAGCCCCACAGGCTGTAGGGTACACGATCAACTTCATAAAAGCTTCTCAGGGAAAGCAACACATCCATCATGAAAGGCAGTCTATGTTCAGAAACGTGAACATGGGGCGGGAGGGGAATTGTATCGTGAAAATAAGACCGTGCTGCTTAAAACCACCACCCATTATTCAGAGAATATTTATTTATTTATTTAGTCAGGGTCTCACTCTGTTGCCCAGGCTGGAGTGCAGTGGCACAATCATGGCTCACCACAACCTCAACTTTCTGGGCTAAGGTGATCCTCCCACCTCAGCCTCCCAAGCAGCTGGGACCACAGGTGCATCTCACCATGACTCGCTAATTTTATTTTATTTTTTATTTTTGTAGAGATGAAGCCTTGCTATGGTGTCTGGGCTGGTCTCAAACTCCTGGACTCAAGTGATCCTCCCACCTCAGTCTCCCAAAATTCTGGGATTATAGGTGTGAGCCACTGCGCCCAGCCTAGAAAATTTATGAGGAAGAATTATGCACACCTGTGCGGGGGACCAGCCCCTGCAAGTTTTGGGGAGTCCCTTGGAAGATGTGGTGGCGTCGGCGAATCTGTAGGGATAGATATTAAAAGAAAGAAAGATGGAAGGATAGATATAAAAAGGAAGAAAGAGAAAGAAAGAAAGTGGACAACTGTTCAGTGAAATGAGCAGAAGCCATTTATTGAAAGTTACAGCAGGTATTTATCCCCAAATTTTAGACAGGCAGTCTCACAAGTCTTTCACGTGAACACAAAGCCAGGTGCGGGGGGGCATCCCCTACCCACCAGATGCTTAGGTGTGAGGAGGAACAAACCCCAAGATTGTCTCATTGTTCCCTTTGCTAGTTAATGTTCTTCAAAAGCAGTGTAACAATCCTTACTAGTCTAATGATGTTCTGATAATCAATAACTTCTAAAGCTCACTCAATACCCATGACGACTAAATTAAACTCTACCACTTATACAATGCTACGGAAGCTCTTAATTATAGCTTAAGCCAATTTCCTAAAGAATGTGGCCCAGTCCAAAGATCACACTGGGCCCTACAGGATGTGGCCCAGTCCAAGGTCCACGGTGGGCCACCTTTTGGAACAATAGACTACAATCTCTTAACAAAATGGCTATACCAAAGTCTTATATATCTATCCTAATTTCTATGAAAGTTTTCCAATTCTTAATTCTAATATATAAATTTGATTAGCAGCAGCGAAGCTTCTAAAACCTAAATGTAAATTGTAAATGTACCAAGGCAAAAACTTCGATAGTAGAGAGTGGAGACAATGACATTTCTAAAGTTAACTATATTCTTATTAAACCTAAAAATATTATGATTGATTATGTTTGAACTAACATGATTCGTAGCATGACCTATTCTACAATACCTTCTATGAATAGAATAAATTCAATTTCTATAATAGGTAGAAAAGAGACCTTACACTAACTGTAGCTAAAGCCGGCCCAAAAGAATGCAGCCCCGTCCAAAGTACATGCTGGGCTCTCAGGAATGTGGCCCAGCCCAAAC